CACAATTAGAATTGGGGTGACGATTTTATAGAGATAAAATAGACTTTCTTTTATTGCATTCCTCAATTCCAAAGTTCCAGCAACCATAAGAGAAGAGCCTTATTGCAATCATCACTTCCAAATTTCAAACGACCAAAGGTTAATGTTAAAACTGACAAACCAATGTAAGCCAGGATCAAAGCGCTAACAACTTTTCATGGCACAAAATGGAAAAAAACTCAGTCAATTGACTTTGACAAGGTAATTTCTTTGTTCCAAAAAATTCCTATGAAAGAAAGAACCATGTATGGGTAAAGAGGTTTGCAAGGCTAATCCCGCCAGTTTTAAACGTTTATTCAAAGTGCTGCCCCATCAAACTTGTGTTCCCATTGTTCATGATACCAAGAAACTGTTAACAGAATCTCTCAAGATCGAGATCATGTCATTTCCAAAATAAGGCTAATCACACTTATCTTGTAAGGCTATTGTAAAATAACTCTCTTATAAATAACGAGCTACTCATATGAATATTGTATCCAGTCAATCAATCAGAATGTACCTTTTAGAGTTTTCTCTCTTTATTTTCGTTATGTTATTCAGATTCTTATTGTTCTTCTTGGTATTAAAGCAAGTTCATCCTGCTTCTGTGCCATGCATCCGCATATTTTTTTTCTTTCAACAAATAAAATCATGATCAGTTCAGTCATGAATATTTACAATTGTGTCATGTTTCAATTCCAAATTCATCCCAAATCACACTTTTTTTCTACTACTAATCCCAAACTCTTGTTTGATTCTCCCAACAATGTCCGCAAAACCTACAAATCATTCAATCAATACAAAACGAAGTATTCTACCCTAGATTTGTATTTTTTTTCTCACAAACCACCTTTAGTTGATCTACAAATTTCAGACAACGAGAAAAGTCACATCCGAGTCAATCTACAAAATCTCCATTATGGCAAAAGTTTTATCTTGTCATAAAAGAAGTGTCTTGACTCGTCATACAAAATCTAACAATAAAATTCAAGTTTTTTTTTTTGTCCAAAACATCGCTAGAATCAATGGACCACAAGAAGGTTTTTCACCGCCGCATGAAGATGAGAAGCCATCAACACAGTCGAAGCAAACTGAGTCTCAAGCCTCGACTCACTTTGAGGGGGGATGTTAACAGAATCTCTCAAGATCAAGATCATGTTATTTCCAAAACGAGGCTGATCACACTCATCAATGATGAGATATGTTTGGCTATCAAGAATTCCTAGAGTATCTCGTAATCTCGGGGAATGATTGCTTCCAATTGTTACTTAAAATAGTTTAGTCTTATATTGTAAGCTCGTTGTAAAAAAACTCTCCTATAAATAACGAGCAACTCATATGAATATTGTATCCAGTCAATCAATCACAATGTAGCCTTTAGAGATTTCTCTCTTTATTTTTGTTATGTTATTCAAATTCTTATTTTCTTCTCAAACCAACCTCCAATTTGCAGGGGAATCAAAATTGGATCAAAATTCAACCCCTTTTCTACATTGCCTTTCAAGAATTGCCACACAATTTGTCCTTTTTTTTTCATTTGAAATGTTTAACTTAAGCACATCATGCCTGACAAGAGTGACACCGATGCCGCATTTACTTATCGCTAGTTTTTGCTCCAAATCTCTCCATTTGCAATAGGGTAAAGCAAAGGATCAAAATTCACTAATATTTCATACAAATCCTATCTAATTATCCTTTCAACTAATAGCATACAATCCCCAATTTAAATTTACCTAGGCATAGTAACCCTTCCAAACGCAGCAAGTGATCGGGTGACCAACCAAACCAAAAGCTTTAAACTTGATTTCCCAATGTTCAACTCCTCTGATGTCACGTACTGGGTCAGTTGATGCAACCCCAGACTCTGCTCTCGCATATTAATCAAAAAATCAAGAGATGATTTTTAAGGAGAGGAGGTGGGAAAGCAAACACCTTACAGTAAATCACCCAGGGAGGAACATATATGATTAATGATGGGAGAAAGAAAAGGGACGCGGTTGATTTGTTACTCGAGTAAAACTGTAGTCTCAAACTTGGTTCTTCACGTCATAAACGAAATCACAGAAAAGGAGAAAACCGACAACGGGAGAGATAGGTAGTCTCAAACACAGTGACGGCCAGAGGGGAAAAAGGAGCGGTCCAACACCTTGTTGCCACGTCATCACCTTTTTCCGGGAACCCCTTTCTAACCGTGCAACAAAAAGGGGATTCCCCTTTATATACATATAGGAATATATACATCTCTCTAGTTTTTTATATACATGTAGTAATCGTAATTTTGGTAACTTGATATGGCATAATTTGGTTTTCATATCCTTTGCCAAATTAAAACTTTTGTGAACTTAGCACAGAAGTGTTACCGCACATCTAAATGTTACTGATTCCATGAAGCGTATGAAGGGGAGAAAAATATATTTGAACGTGAAAAAGGTTTTGACGAAAATAAGAATGGGAATAATTGCTTTTGTTCTTCGGTAATTTGGGATGATTTTTCTATTCGTATTGTGTGGTTGAGTTTATTCTCGGAAGGAGCTAAGCTAGGTATAAGCCTACAAGTACTAGTCAATGCATTTTCGATCAGATTCCTCTTGGAGTCCTTTTGTTCATGATGATGGAAAACCGGTGATGCGGTGTTCAAAGTTTAGCTAGGCCAAGTAAGATAAGAGTTATTGGGTGTCCACTATCACTTGCTGTAATTATAGGCGAAGTTTAGCTAGGCGAAGCAGCGGGCAGCAGCGGGATTGTCACGTTAAGTTTTAAATTGCAAGTGGAGTGTGGGTTTTAATTTTTATTTTTTTGTTAAAAAGTGTTTCCATTTTTTATCCTTTTTTTGGTTTTGAAGAATTATTAGTTGGAAAAAGAGTTTGGGCCGTTTTTGTGAGTAATTGGCTAAGTGAAGTTTGTAAAAAATAAAAGGAAATTTGGGCTGGACTTTAATTAAGAGTTAGATACAACTAAAACAAAAAATAAGTTGAGCTTTCTTTTTAACTAGTCCTGGGCTGTCGCGCATTGCGGAACAGTTCTTATTCAGGATCAGGTCGATCAATATAGAGCTAAAAATAATTTATGCAGAAGTGTAAATTTTTTTTATTGAATTTCATGTCAGAGGATTGAATAATAAGTGTGCATTTATTTTTTTATAAAATAGAAGTGTATAAAGATTACATTAAGTGGATTTATTTCAAATACTTTATTTAAAAAAAAAACACAAGGTGGATTTATTTCAAATACTTTATTTAAAAAAAAAAACACAAGGTTCATGTAATTTTACAAATATTGTTTTGCATATGTTTGTTACAATGCAAAACAGAATCTATTTTTTGCACCTTTTTTTCCGGCTCTTTTATCCCTCCCTTTGGACCCTTAAAGACATGATGAAACAAAGTTCACTTCTTACAGTTTCATCTACCATCGTTGTATCTAGATTAAGACGCAAATGCTTTCAACTTAATCAAACAAACTATGGTAAGAAACTTTTTAATTAAAGATTATTCACCATGTTCTTACCAAGGTATTACTGGATCGTCAAAACCCTCAATTTGGTTTCACATTTCATTACAATTCACATGATATGGAGAGAATAATTCACGATCTGTATGATTTGTTCACCGAAAATCCTCCGTTGTTGCCGCCTTTATTTCACATTAGATTTGCAAATTCAACCTTTGGAACTGATAGGTCTCCTTCTTTGTTGTTCCTTTGATCTCCAAGGCTTTTCAGATTGATCATGTCAAAATCAGGACTCTGAACTGCTGTCCATTTAAGTGTCTTTTTTCGCTTGTTTACAGTCAGAATTTGAAACTGATATTTGGAGATGACTAATAGCCTTTTCTTCCAGTTTCACAACCATATGAATAATTCCTTAATCCGAATTACATATCTAAAGTTATGGTCTCAGAAAGTTGGTTGCGTCTTGCTGAAGTGGCTGCAGGTCTAGGATAGCTCGGACAAGGAAACTTCAACTACTTTTTTGGCTCTAAATGCCTGAATTTGCTCAATCTTTTATCATGAGAATTGCAGTTTGTTGAAGTATTTATCCCACATTGGTGTCTGGAGACACTTTGTATCAGTATATAACCATCATGGGCTACTCCCCTTATTGCCAATTGGTTTTGAGGTGGAACCCCATGGGCTTCTATATGGTATCAGAGCGGGCTCGGCCTGTGGTGATTTTAAGCCCATGATTTTATTCCGTGGCCCAATTTAAGTCTGCGACGTTATTCCGCAGCCCGTGATGTTATTCTACGGTTTATTTCCTGATCCTGGTGATTTAGTCCAAGCCCGTTGGGCTTGAGGGAGAGTGTTGAAGTATTTATCCCACATTGGTGTCTGGAGACACTTCATATCAGTATATAAGCATCATGGGCTACTCGCTTCATTGCCAATTGGTTTTTTGAGGTGGAATCCCATGGGCTTCTTCAGTAACTTTTCAATCGAAGTTGTGTAACTCAGGTTACTTTCCTTCAAAGTTAATTTCTTTGTCACATAAACACTTGGCCAGTTATATGATTTTTTAAATGAAAAGGGATTCAAAGAATTCCGTTTTGTATCATTACTATAGCAAGTCTTTGCTTTTTATTAGTAGTAGAAATCTAATCTTGAATTTCATATATTGCTAAGAAGGGGATTTCAGCTTTGTTTAGTTTCACCTAGGTGTTTGGAGTTTAATCTGCGCTAAGAAACCATTCTTTTTAAGGAAGATTTTGAAGTGCTCAATAAAATGGGTCGCTGGACCATTAATATTTTTACGAAAATCTCATAATGAAAAGCTGGGAACACCATCAAGAATTCACAGGAGGAAATCGATCTGTGAAGAGGCACAAAGAATGAGAACACATGTTTCCTTTTCCTCTCACAACTAGGTTCGATTCCATGCTCTAGTGTGTGTGGCGAAAGCCGGCGAATTCTTCAACGATCCGTCTGCCATGGCAAAGAAAACGTAGAAGAAAGGGAACACGAGCGAGAAGGAAGTGCAAGGGAGAATGACTGCTGAGAAGAGAAGCACTGTTGGGAGCAAATCGCCACAAAGTAGCACCTCTGGTCAGGTCAGTAACCCTAATTTGCTCATTAATTGCATGTCTGAAGAGCATTTAATGTGCAATAAAACCTGTAATCACCAAGATTCAGCCGGGGGAAATGAATCGGGAGCTAGAGGTGTTAAAACCGGGATAGATTTCAGTGGAATTGAACCGAAACCAGATAGTGTTTGGAGTAACTTTGATCCAAAGAAACTTCAATCACCTGAGAGGAAGCTTAGGTTTATCGAACCTAATGTGATTGATAACTGTGAAATTGGGAAAGTTACTATGGAAGAAGTGCAACCAGAGATTGATTACTGGAAGACATCGATCCTGTGCTATGTTTTGGGGGCCAATCCGCCATTTGTGATAATGAGTGGATACATCAGACGTGTTTGGGGGAGGTTTGGTGTTGATAGGTACTGTTGCTGGATAGTGGTGTGTTTATAGTACGATTCAAAACTGAGGCAGCAAAGGAAGAAGTGCTGAGGAAAACAGTGCATATGTTTGATAAAAAGCCACTTATTGTGAAAGAATGGTCTGCAAGTGGAGAACAATCTCTGACTGATATCAAGAGGGTACCAGTTTGGATCCAGTTCCCCAAGCTGGCATTAAGATACTGGAATGAGACATCTCTGAGTAGATTGGCTAGTTTGGTTGGAGTACTAGTGGAGATGGATGAGATGACCGTCCAGAGACAAAGATCTGCGTTTGCCAGAGTTCTTGTGGAGGTGGAGATCAAGGAGAAATTGACAAAAGCTGTTTGGTTTGAGGATGAAAATGGAAATGTAAAAGAGCAGAAGGTTCGGTATGAATGGAAGCCAGTGCAATGTTCAAAATGTAAGGGCTATGGTCACTTAACTACTGAATGCAGAGCTCCTGTGGCTCAGACTTGGCAACATAAACCTGGGGAAAAGGAGAGGAAGGGTGAGGAACAGAAACATCAACAAATTGATAAAGGGAAGGAGAAGGTGAATACAGGAAGGTCTGTGGCACAAAGGAAGGAAAAGGAGGAGACTGGTGCAGGGGAGTTTCAACACATGATTGATGAGTATGAATTATGGGAAATGCAAACATATGGAGGGAGATATACATGGAATAATAAGCAAATTGGGTTAGCCAGGATATATTCCAAACTTGATAGAGTATTGGTAAATACCCACTGGATGCAAAAATTTACAGATGCCTATAATCTATCCTGCCAGCTGGTATCTCTGATCATAATATGCTGTTAATCAAATGGGATGATGGTAGTCCACAAATAAAGAGATCATTCAGATTCTTTAATATGTGGACTCAACATCCTGAGTTTGAGGAGACCATAAAAAATGACTGGCAGAAGACTTGTTATGGGACTAAGCAATACTGCTTTATTCAGAAACAGAAAGGATTAAAGGTTGTGCTCAGGAAGTTTAATAAAAAGCAATTTGCTAATGTGGAGGAAAAGGAGATGGAATGGAGACAGAAATTGGAGGAACTTCAAGATAAACTCAAACAGAAACCACAAGATGAGGAATTACAGAAAATGGAAAAGGAAGCAGCAAAAGAATATATAAATGCTAGCAGAATTGTGATGAGCTTCTGGTCACAAAACTTGAAGGAGAAGTGGATTAGTGAAGGGGATCTGAACACTCAGTACTTCCATGCTGCTATTAAACAAAGATCTATGAAGAACAGAATCAGAACAATAGTGAATGAAAGTGGTGATGTTATAGAAGATCCAATTCAGGTGGAGGATCACTTCCTTAAATATTATCAACAGCTACTGGGTACAAGTGTAGCAAGGACTGCAGCTAGAAGTGAAACATTTCAAGCAGGAAGAACACTGAATATAGCTCATCAGACTTCCCTAATGAAAGATTCACCCTAGCAGATGTCAAAGATGCTCTATTCAGTATTGATGTGAATAAGAGCTCAGGTCCTGATGGCTATAATAGTGGTTTCTATAGAAAAGCATGGCATATTGTAGGGGATGATTTCTGTGAAGCTGTGTTCGATTTTTCAGAACTGGGAAACTGTTAAGGCAAATAAACTCCACCCTCATTTCTCTGATACCAAAGAATGAATCCCCAAAGGATGCAACTGAGTATAGACCTATCTCATGTTGCAATACTATATATAAATGCATATCCAAGATGATGTGTAAGAGATTTAGTGTTATCTTGCCTGATCTTGTTGACCTTAATCAAGGTGCCTTTATACAGAAAAGGTGGATATTACATAATGTTTTATTAGCTCAAGAGCTGATCAGATTGTATAACAGGAAATCCAGCAAACCATGCTATATGATGAAGGAAAATTTGAGGAAGGCATATGATTCTGTGCACTGGGAATTCATTGAAAAAATGCTAACAAAATACAAATTTCAAGGTAAGTTCATCCAATGGGTTATGACATGTATTACAACTTGCTCCTACTCATTGAATTTGAATGGCAAGAGTGGGGGTTCTTCCAAGGAAAAAGAGGTTTAAGACAAGGTGACCCAATGTCTCCCCTTTTGTTTGTATTGGTTGTTGAATATTTGACTAGATTGCTTACCAGAGAGGCTGAGAAGGATGGATTCAAGAGGCATCCAAAATGTGAAGCACTGAAAATAACTTCATTGAGCTTTGCTGATGATCTCTTAATCTTCTGTGGTGCTTATGTAAACACTGTTAAAGCAATCAAAGGAGTGCTAGATATTTTGCAAGCTCAACTGGTCTTAAGCTGAATGAAGGGAAATCAAATATGTATTTTGGAGCACCAGTGGAAGAAGTAAAGAATCAAATCAAGCAGATTATGGAATTTCGTATAGGCAGTTTTCCAATGAAGTACCTTGGACTACCTATCTCCCCAACAGCATGGACTAAAACTGATTGTCAATGCCTAGTGGAAAAAGTAACTGCAAGGTTGAGATGCTGGTCAACTCAGCATCTATCATATGCTGGGAGAACTGTACTTATCAACTCTGTTCTACTCACCGTGCACCAATACTGGGCAAGTATATTCATAATACCACAATATGTAATGCAAAGGATCACAGCCTATTGCAGGAACTTCCTTTGGGGCATGAAAAACAGTGGTAGAAGCTGGCCGTTAGTTGCCTGGGACATATTCAAACAGAAGGAAAGTCTGTGGATAAAATGGATGCATGCCTACTATATTAAAGGCAGGAATTTTTGGCATTATGAACCACCTACTGATTGCAGTTGGTATTGGAGAAAACTAATGCGCATCAGGGATGAACTGAAACCAGCAGTGCAGAATGGAAAATGGATGGTGAATGGAGGCAGAGAATATACAGCAAGTAGAGGATACCAGTGGCTCAGAGGGCAAGGGGAAAAGTTCGAAGCAGCACCAATAATTTGGAGCAAGTTTTCAGTACCTAAGCACAGTCTGATAAGTTGGCTTGCTTGGCGAGGCAGGCTGTTAACATGTGACAAATTGGAGAAAATGCAGGTTGCAGTGGATGATCCAACTTGTATCCTCTGCAACAAAACTCGGGAAACTGGTTTGCACTTGTTTTTTGCTTGCACCTTCTCACAACAGCTAGTAAATCTGATCAGGAAATGGCTGGGGATCAGGTCAGAAATTGGTGTGCTGAATGCAGTAAGATTCATGCACATCTGGAAACAACAAAAACTGTGAAGGAGGATCCTACATGCAGCACTGAATGCTGCTATCCACCACATTTGGTTAGAAAGAAATGGCAGGAAATTTGGTGATCAAAAAAGGACTGTTGAGCAAAGGTTTGAAAATCTAAAAAATGAGGTCACTTGGAGAGTTAGCCATCAGTTTAGGAATGGCAAAGGTGATGATGTAAGGCTGTTAGAGAGATTTGGGATTGTGATTCCATAATGTACATTTGTAAATGACTTGTCTAAGATGAATAAAAATTTTACACTTTACCAAAAAAAAAAAAATCGATCTGTGATACATTTTCTAATGACAGGTTTACTATCTTATGAACCAACGAATACTTTACCATGTTACTTAAGAATGCATTTTCATTCCCAGGAAGCTCTCACAATACATACCCAAAACGTTAAACTGTGCAAAAAAGAATGATTTTCTTTTGTAATGGCTCCCTAACATTGCCTCAAGCCTTCTTTTCTTGGCAGTATGTTTCAACTTCTCGAGCGCTACGAAATATGTTAACGGCTCAATTAATCGTTTCGGAGTTTCATCTCGAAATATATTTAGACAAATTTCAAACTTTTCATGTGTCACTTTGATCGATATAACCAAATCATTAGCCAACTTTGATTAGTTTGACTTTGAAGAATTGATTAACAAATTTTCTTCTTTTATTTCTATTTTTATTGTTTTTTTTTTTTGTGAAGAAGGTTAATTTCATTACCAGTTCAAAGAATTTATCGCGTACAACTTTGAATAAATGAGAAACCAGAAGTTAAATCAGGCGCATTTTGTTTACACCATGCTACAATTACTGAAGAATTAGGGACTCTTTGGATAGATGTGTTGATGCTAGAATTTGTTTTTCCCAAGATGGAAAAGACAGGATTGCTAAGCAGATCATCGATGAAGTTGATGAAGTCAAGCAATCAATAAAGTTCAGGGTGATTGAAGCGGATCTGATGGAACTGTACAAGACCCTCATCATAACAGATCATGTTGACACAAATGGGGAAGATAATCTCATAACATGGACTCTGGATTATCAGAAACGGGAAGAACTCGGCCCACATCAAGGAACCTTGCTGAACTAATTCCTTCACGTGATTGAAGACATTGAGGCTCATCATCTTAACCAAGCTTAATAAATCACCAATCCTTGTGTCCCAAATAAATTTGCAGTCTGTTTTTGTGTCATTTCTTGATTAATGGTGATGTTCGTGTCTACTAATTTGTTAAATCTTTAAATCGTATCATATAAAATTTCAATAATTTAATATCTATATGTGTGCGAGACATTTCATTATTATAATTTTGTGATTTTTTTCATATTCTTTTTTATTTTTCTGTTTTAGTTTTCCTTACTTTTTTTTGTTACATAATTTGGATTGTTTTCCTTTTTTTTTTTGGATTATGAAGAAGCCTAAAGCGTGAAAAGAATCAAATTAAGATATTTTGTGGGTGAAAGCCTTTCATATTCCAACCACGGGTTAACTTCGGATGGTGAATTGTTAACCCAGTGCAGTCCATCTTATAACATGTACCCAAATATGCTACAAATTATGTCTGCTGCATTCGAATGCACAAAATGTGACAAATCTTCGCAGTCCAGTGTCTACCAACAACAACAAACTCACAAATAACACGAACTAAGCCTTCATATACATGGCCACAAAATCTTTGTTTACGGCCATCTGCACCCCGCTGAGATTATCAACATCAGAATTTGATTGGCGAATACAAAGTATTCACGCAGCACGACATGTGTATGCACGTATAAAGTTGTGGATGTATATACCGAATGACGTACGTTCAATTGATTCAAATTGTAAGTTGTCAAGGAAAATATAACATAATTTCAATTGGATTACATTTTTTAAAAAATAGCTTTTTCATTTCAGGAATACTGGAATATATAATGTACCGCTTTCTCTTCAAATGAAATATGATTCTCTTCGGCTTAGTTATGATTATTAGGCCCTCTAAGATGCGGGATAATGAGGTTTACGCCCCTTTCTTGCATGTATCGGAGCAAAGGAAATTATCACTGTAGAACAGTCATCTACACATTTCAAAGAAACTACATAAGTACATATACAGATATACTCAACTACTCAAACTAACGTGACTTTCAAATTAAATGAGCTGTGTCCAAGAAGCTGAATGGTCCACACAAAATATGTTTTCCTTATAATGAAGTTATATGCATACGTATGCATGTATTATATACCAAATAGATGATGATGTTGATTGTAAATGATTATTCACATCAACATCTTGCAAGAATTGCTTAAAAATGAAACATAGTGTACCTTTCTACTCCCTTAGGACCTTATTATAAGCCATTTTAGTTAATCTAAAATTTTATTAACCATGTTCTTTAAATTGAAAAGAGAACATTAAAAATAATTAAAAAAACAGAAGATGTCACACCGTTTATTTTAAGTTTTTATTTTCAATTAGAATTACAGGAACTACATATACTAAAATAAACTTAGAATAAAGTCAAAATGCTATATAATCAGGACAAGAGGGAGTAATTAATAAAGTTAAATGTTGCCTGAAATTAATAAAAAAAGTAACAGCCCACTACCAAGGAAAAGCAATTATTTCAGACTGGAGCAAATGACATTAAATGACAGGATGAAATGGGAAACTAGTAAAGGATAATTCTTCAATCTTTTTCCGCTTCTTCTTCTTCTTCTTCTTCTACTTTTTTTTCTTCTTCTTCAACAGTACATTTATTTTTTGCTGTTTAAAATTGTCTTGCAAGAATATAATTCTGACAAACCCCCCTCTATGCACGATGAAAAGTATTTTTTCATCCGAAAAAAATAGCTCCTTGCGTTAAACTATAACAGTACAACAAAATAAATTACTGCATGTTGTCCAAGTTATAAGGAATAAATTTGAAGTAAGTTTGGTGTTAATTTATTTTTAACAATTAAGAAGGAGAGAGTATTACTGTATGACTGAGGGGTATTAATTAATCTGTAGCCTGAAGAATTAATTCATGATGTCATACAAGATACATGTGAAAGGGAATTGAATGTCTGTCTATATTTTTTGACTCGTTTTTGTTTGTTATATTGTTTTTCTTTAATACATACTGTGGATCCTCAAAAGTCTATATAAACAATGAATCATGTTTAGGCTAGTGAAATTTTACGCTAATATCTAGCGCTATTTACTCAAATACTACTTTAATAACTTCATCAACAAACTGGTTCTCAATGGACAATATGTACAGAGTAACCGATTTCGGGATCGGGGGTTGGTATTGAATTTGTTCACCTTTTTACACAATTGTTTTTACCTTATTAAATAAGTTAACCAGTCTGTCACCTGGATTAGTATAGAGTAATCGCCATAACATATTGATCACATTTCACAACAAAGCATAACTCCACCGTTTCTGAATTTCCTCTTTGGCTTTTGATGTTCATTCTCAACTTCTGAATCTCATTTTGGGACATTTTTTGCTCTTTCGTGCGCTCGTAACCTCTTTTCGAAGTCTCTTTTCTATCAATCAATCATGCACTTTTGTATCCCGAAAAATTAATCGTACGTTTACACATAAAAAGTGTGCATATGTACCATGTCGCAATATGTTCATTGCTGCAACTGCTCTTCTTTAATGCTTTATGCATTTTCGGTTTTAATCAATTTCTAGAATCCTTTTCTTCAGTTTCATTCTGTTATATATATATATATATATATATATATATATATATATATATATATATATTCAAGAACCAAGATAGATGTAATTTGAACAAAATAATCTATAAAATCATTTAACGAACAAATAAGATAAACTGAACTTAGAACCTCAAGTTGGACAAAGAGCGCATGTGGATATGGTTTTCCTCCATTTGTTACAACACTATTGGTAATTACAGCGAGAAGTTGTCGCTGTTGGTATCAAAATGTACTTGTCTATTCCCATATTTTTGAAGCAGATCCTACATATCAACCACCAGAATTAACATTTACTAATTTATGCTATAAGTGAGTTTTTTTTTTAAGAACTGTTGGTGGTATCCTAAAATATCCTATGCGATGGATTGCAATATCATTAAGAACAAATCATGGAGCTTACTATAACGATTCAACGACATTGATAATTATTGGACAGTATATAATGATTTGCCATACTTATTGATTTTTTTTTTTTTCCAAAAGAATGTTTCATTACCAAGTATCAAAAGTGTGTATATATTTCCATGTCCAATTAACATAGTACCTCAAAGAGAAACTTATCAAAATCGTCGATTTTAATGTTTGGTACTCACTATCACATGAAACAACTGAATTTTACTACACCAAATTAAGAACTTCGAATAATTGTATACTCTCTCAATAGAACCATATCGAATTTTAAGATGAAGGCAACCTCTTGGACTATCTGGGGTGTGAGGGTTGGGTGTGGTGGTTAGAGGATTAGAATGGGGGGTGGTTATTACCAGAAGATCGAGGGTTCGATTCTCGTTGGGGCTATCCAGTTTTTTTTAAAAAAAAAAAGAAGAAAAAACCTCTTGGACGACCTTGGAATCCACTAGAGGTTTATTTTTGAAGATGAGATTATTTGTAACTTTCCACATAAAACAGATCTATGAATACCAAGAGGTTTGCGAGCAAACGGAAACTATTTGGGCATAATCTTTAAATTTATGTTGAATTGTTAGGAGCCTAAGGTTATTCGTAGTCACTAGTATGATGCACATATAGCCTGTCTTTAGGGTTATTTCATACACCACGGTATCTATTCACTTTCTCCAACAATAGAATGAATTGTAAATTTGCATGCAATACAAATTGATCGAGTCAAGATGTCAATTTAAGTATAAAGAAAACTTAATAAAGAAAAAGAAACACTGAAAGGTTATCCCTAATACACATGCACATCGGAAATTGTCAATGGAAAGTTTTACAATTGTCTTTAAAATTTCCATTGCCTTCAATTAATACATCTTCAACATCAATGACCTAAGTGGATTTTAATATGATTGAATTACCTGCAGTATCAATTACAACAGAACGTCCATTAATTAGTAATCTATAAATTAATAACTAATAGCAATTAATAATTTTCTCCACTCTTAACCTGGGACCAGTACAAAAAAATGAAAAAAATAAATCAAATCATAAGATAATAATGTTTCAAAAACTTTCATATATATATTTATAAGTCCCAACAATACCATAAATTAATAAATATCCTAAAAGTAAAAAAAATTATTATTATAAATATTTGGTAACATATGAACTATTCATATTTATTTTTTAGAGGCTGTATCCAGTATACCCAGGGGCACCGTGCCCCCCTCCTATTTTTTATATTTTTAGTCCTTATTGTACTTTTTTCTCAATCTTTTTATATTTTACACGTTTAGTCCCTGTGAGTTTTTTTCTCTCTCTTCCAAAAAAACATCCCTAATCTTAAAACGAGCAAATCTCCCAATCCGTGAAGAATTTGTGAACAAATTATAGATGAAATTTATAGTACTCATCGAGATCTATCCAACAAAATCCATAGTGAATATTTTTTCGGGCTTAAAAATGACTTAATTCTGATGGACAGAATAGGGCTGGATATCCAGTTTTACAAAATGGATAACCAACTTGTTCTAAATTGGTTATCCATTGTGTTCATGGTGATTATCCAATCGGTTTGAACTGGTTATCCATTTTGTTTCTACTGCTTATACATTTGGTTATCCAACTTCTTAATTCAAAATAAGTTGGTTATCCATCTTTTTAAACTGGATATCCAATGTGTTCATATTGATTATCCAATGCGCTAATACTGGTTATCCAATGGATTTACATCTTATCCAAGTTATTTGTACTGGTTATCCACTGTGTTCATGCTGATTAACCAACTTGTTTGTACTGGATATCCATCCATTTGGTTTGTATGCAATCCAACTCTAATCTTTCAACGAGCATATCTCCCAATCCGTGAAGAATTTGTGAACGAATTATATATGAAATTTATAGTACTCGTCGAGATCTATCCAACGAAATCCACAGTAAACATTTTTTCGGACTTAAAAATGACTTAATTCTGATGGGCAGAATAGAGGTGGTT